GTGACACTGATCGATATATAAGGTAAGATATTTATTAATCCCAATTTGGGAAATGTTTGCGTTGCAGTACAGTAGCATAACAAACAAGGCATCGCACATAAGTAGAACTGTAAAGAGTAGATATAAACAATTCTAAAATGTAAACATCTCAAAATAGAAATAAATAATATATATATATATAAACGGAAGTGGAAACAATTCACAAAGGGATTAAACTGTTTAAAACACATGCTCAAAGTAAGCCGGATTTTGCCGATGTGTTTATGTGGATTCAAAAGTCGTAAATAATCTACAAAATGGAGGAGCCGGCATGGACAATGAGTATGTTTTAAAAATGCGCTTATCCAGACAAGCCCGGTTTGGACACTTTGAGGGCAGAAGAAACATTTATATTAAAGAAAGAATTATACATTTCTGTCTTTTTATGCCTTTAATAGCTACTAACTTGAATTGTTATTCAAATTAATTAATCAATTATTTTTTATATTCTATTGTAATGTAGAGACAAGGCTTTTAGTGACAATCATGTATTGCCTTATAATTATATTTAAAAAAAAAAAAAAGTCTAAATATGATATTTGACCCCAAATCATCTGAGGCCTGGCGCCCCCCCTGCGATCTTTGGCGCCCCCCAGGTTGGGAACCACTGTCCTATGTAGTGGAGTGTAGAAGTTTAGAGTGGGAATGCTCAGGAAAGTACAGGTTATGTAACTCACATTTCAACCCTGATCTTTAAACCAACACTTTCTCAAGGCATGAAACACTTTTGTGCAGTTTGCTTGAATTCCGTTATTTTTGCACAAATGTGCCTTAAAAACAGGTGGATGGAAATATAAAATGTCCCTCTTGTGGGGCTGAGATTTTGGGACTTCCCTCCCTTTGATCCAATCAGAGGTCGTGGTTACATTTGGGAAAACACTTAACACTCTGTGGGCAGCAGATCTGGAACCTGCTCTTAATGAAAGAGTTCCGTCACTGGAGCCACTCCAGCCAGCTCCAGAGAGACAAACTACTGCACTCCCGTAGCCTTGGCAACAACAAGGACCGAGACACAAACAACAACAAAACAGCAACAGGCCTCACTCACACCACTCACATTATGATGCATCAAATAATCGAAGTAAAAGGAAATTTGTACAACACAATAAAGACTTTACGAGGGCTTGGACAGGAATGTGCAGAAATAATGAGATCATTGATGGAAACAAAATTAAAACAATCACCATGACGATTTTACAACAGTTCAAAGCATGTTTCCACAATGGGGAAAAAGTGCTTCTTTGACTGTATCGTACCTTTTTTCTCCTCTACTTTTACTGAATTAATTACTCAAATATTAAGTTGCTTTGCAAATTCAGACATTTAAATCAACTCTTAATTATCATATATTATATTTATCCAGCATTATAAAATTCCATTGGTATCAGCTCAACCTTGACTAGCTGCTTTTAAACTGATAAACACAGAGAAAAAACTGGGAACACAGGCATTTTAGCCTCTGCTGACCATCGACATGCACACAAACCTATAGAACACACTAAAGGAAAGCATTATGGCCTATTTAATATGGATGCATGAAGTTTGGGGAGGTTAAAAAACAGGGTTTGGAACTGCTGAACTACATCATCCTCTCAGGAATAACCACATGTTTATTCTGCCTTTAGATTGAATCATTAACTCTGGATTGAAGACAAATTGTTTCCAGAGAACATCTATCAAAATTACGCCATATTCCCCCCTATTATAAAACAAATGATTTGAAGCATTTTATTGCCAGAATGTTGCTCATGACAGACAGGCCCAATATGGATTAATTTCCTTGCCACTTGCATGCGTGTGCTTGTGCGTGTGCGTGTGCGTGTGTGTGTGTGACAGGTGTTTGTGTGTGTGTGTGACAGGTGTTAACCTAACCATTTCAAATCATAGCTACATGTAAATACAGTCTTGATACTAGATGCATTTACAATATATAAGGCGTATAAAGAGGGCTTAAACAGTAAAATGCATATTTATATTTGATCCAAATACGGGAAACAATGGTTATACAAACAAAACATTAATTCCAGGTGTAAATGGAGACTCCCTCTAATACCCCTTTTCCATTGAAGCAGTGCCAGGGCTGGCTCGGAACCAGCTCTCTGCCTCAAATTCTTTTCTCACATTTGGAACCAGAAATCTGCTGAGCTGGAACCCAGAGCCACACACTCAGATCCGGATAAGAGGTTTAAGTTGGAGAAGTCTTTCATCATTTTACCACAAAGTTTGGTAGACAAACATGAGCACAGCTCCTACGCAGTCTGCCATTGTTCAAAAGTAAATGATGTAACGCTCAGCAAACTGGTTTCGCAGTTGGTTCAACCTGCCAACCAACTGCGAAGCAAACTAGCACCAGCCTAGAACTAGAACGGAACTCACTCCAGTGGAAAAGGGGTGTAAATTACACAGTTCTTTAGTCTCAATTAGTGATTCTAAAATGCGTTGGCTCTGACTCACCGGTATCACAGTTGGGTCCAGTCATGCCGTCTTCACACTGGCTGCAGTCCGGCCCTTTGAACCCTCGGCGGCAGACACACTTCCCTTTGACGCAGCGCCCCTTGCTGTTGCAATTACCAGGGCAACCTTTGGCGCTGCAGTCCTGCCCGGCGAAGCCCACCTCGCAGACACACTTCCCGTTGACGCACTTCCCGCGGTTGCTGCAGTTATTGGGACAAGCTTTTTCAGAGCAGTCCGATCCGCTGAAACCGTCATCGCAGACACACTGTCCGTTAACGCAGCGCCCCCTACTGTTGCAGTTTCCCGGGCAGGACACCTGCGAGCAGTCTTCTCCGGTGAAACCACTTTCGCACTCACACCTTCCGTCCACGCACTTTCCGCGATCGGTGCAGTCGTTCGGGCAAGTTATTTCGAGGCAGTCCGGGCCGCCAAATCCTTCATCGCAGACGCACTCTCCGTTGACACAGCGCCCCCTACTGTTGCAGTTTCCAGGACAGGACTCGTCCGAGCAGCTGGGACCGGTGAATCCGCTTTCGCACTCACATTGACCGTTCACACACCTCCCGCGGTTGTTGCAGTTATCAGGACATGATCTTTTGGAACAATCTGGTCCGGTAAACCCAGGGTTGCACAGACACTGTCCGTTGATGCAGCGGCCCTTGTTGTTGCAGTTTCCGGGACAGGATTGGTCCGAGCAGCTGGGACCGGAGAAGCCTTCACTGCACACACACTTGCCGTTCACACACTGGCCCTGGTTGTTGCAGTTGCCCGGACAGGAGTTCTCAGAGCAGTCGGGGCCGGTGAAGCCAGGGTCGCACACACACTGTCCGTTGATGCACCGGCCTTTGTCGTTGCAGTTTCCGGGACAGTCGGACTCGCTGCAGTCCGGTCCGCTGAAGCCAGGGAAGCAGACACACTTCCCGTCCACACAGCGACCCTGATCACTGCACTCGTTGGGGCACTCGTCCGTCTCCGTTTTAATGGAGCAGCCTGCACCTGAAGCAGATCAGATTTGTTATGACAAAAACTGTTTTAAATTACAATGAGATATGTCTTTCTCAGGCAGAGGTGCAAAAAGTAAGTAAGTCCTATTATAATGTAAAAAACCATTATGTCTTATAACACTAAAGCTACAGTTTAACATTTTACCGCCATAGACACTTATCTTTTGTTTCAGCAGCAAAAAGATGTGGCTGTGTATTGTTCAGTCAGATGTAGATGGAAGAGTAAATGCCAAATATGTTTTTTTGTGTGTGAAATGTTGTCATTTGTGGCCAAGACTATTGTCTAATCAGGAGACCTACTGTATACTGTGCATCTGTGTCCACTTCTCATATATGTTACACAAATTGTTGAGACTTCTTCCATTGTGCAAGTCTTTTTTTTGTTGTGTTTTTTTGCATGAAATAACATATCTATTACATCTGCAACACACTGTCAAACATGTCTTGAATTATTCAGAACAGAGTCCTCTTCCTTCTCAGTATTTGATGGTGGGAGGTGGAGGCCTAATCCTCCGTGATTAGAGCGTAACGTGGCCTGGCTTTGACTAATTAGAGGAGGGGAGCTGCTCTGGACTGGGAGGAGACGGAGACTGAGATCACACTGGGCAGAGAGCAGAGGACACACACACACACACACACACACCGACACACACAAACACCGACACACACACAATTAGCTCATGCTTTGAGCTTTGCCAGTTTCTAATGGGCCCAGTCTTGAGGTCAGCTCCACTTTACCAAGGAACTTGGACAAACTGAATATAAGATGGTTAAACTGTGACGGATCTAATAAGTACAAATACTCACGTGCTGTTCTTGCTGTCACTAAATATGGAGGTAAAGGTACTTTATATTTCCACCCCACAAATATTAGAAATTAGTTATTTTGACATTTGATGATATTGATCCCACTGTAGCTGTTTTTCATATTTACCTCCAAGGAAGTTATGTTTGTGTTTATGGATTTTCATGAAACCTGTTGGAAGAGTGTAGCCTGCGGGCCAGGGCAGAACCTCTTACATTTTGAGACCATTACAGGGCGGATACACAAATGATTAAACTTTGTCAACATTTGAGAAGGGATATTTAGATCTTTTAGTTGATCATTAAATATTTTGTTGTTGGATTCAATGATGGTTTCAATTTATTTTGTGCAAGTAGGGTCGAGTTGAGTTCAACTCATTATTAAATTAGGTTTCATGTATTTGTCTAGTGCAATAATATCTGGTATGAATCAGGAATCATTGGGTCACACGTCAGGATGGAAGCTGTTTCATCTTTTTTTTTTCTTTTTAGGCTTGTTGTTATGTGTTAACCTATTCTGGTAAGGTTTGTGCTCACCATAACATAAAGAAAAAAGATGGAACAAACGGTATGAATGTGTAACTCTGCTCTATATATTCAGAAAAGTTAACATCTTTAAAACTATTTTAATGCACGATAAATAGTCATCCGTGTGTGTTTGCCTGTGTGTGTTGCATAACGAGTCAGTGGAACAGGAGGAGCAGCTACAGGCAGAAACAGTGAAGTAATATGAACTCATGCGATTGGCCGAAACAAAGACATGTGCAGGGCAAATTGTGACTGAATGTGACGAGGAGTTGGAGCAGGGAGAGATGAAAGCTGGGAAATATATAGACTGTGAACTCTGAGTCAGACTTTTATATGTTCAGTATGAGTCAGACCCTACATCTGCTGATTTATGGTTTAACAGTTGTTATTCTGAGGAAACACTTTAAAGTATAATGTGTAGTGCCGAGAGACGGGAGTCGGAGGCGGGGTATCGAAGGTACAAGCTAGACTTTTATTTAACATCAGGTCAACATGTAAAACAGCTTTCAGCCCGGGAAGAACAGACCGGGGGAAACAAGGGTCCGGTCAACTCACTATGTCCGTGCGGAACAATACCCCAACCCATAGTTCCGTGGGTGAATAATGTCAATCACCACACAAGCCCCCCCAGAATTCACCCATAGTCAAAACCCTCGCGCCTGGGAGGAAGTACCGCCCGACCCCGGCGCGTACGGACCACAGGGGCNTGTTCAGTATGAGTCAGACCCTACATCTGCTGATTTATGGTTTAACAGTTGTTATTCTGAGGAAACACTTTAAAGTATAATGATACAATACATTTGAAAGGGGCAGTCATTTGAATCATTTGAACTTTTTGTT